TCTGTTGGCCATTCATATATCTTCCTTTGAGAAATGAGTATTTAGGTCTTTTGCCCATTTTTAAAGTTGGGTTGCTTGTTTTTTTCTTGTAAAGTTGTTTCAGTTTCTTGTTATTCTGGATATTAATCCTTTGTCAGATGTATATTTTGCAGATATTTTCTCCCACTCTGTTGGTTGTCTTTTAGCTCTGTTAATTGTTTCTTTTGCTGTGCAGAAGCTCTTTAGTTTGATATAATCCCATTTGTTTATTTTTCCTTTGGTTGCCCGTGCTTTTGGGATCATATTCATGAAGTCTGAGTCCAGTCCTACTTCTTGAAGTATTTCTCCTATGTTTTCTTTAAGAAGTTTTATTGTTTCAGGGTGTATATTTAATTCTTTAATCCATTTTGAGTTGACTTTAGTGTATGGTGAAAGGTATGGGTCTAGTTTCATTCTCCTGCATATTGATATCCAATTCTCCAAGCACCATTTGCTAAAGAGGCAGTCTCTTCCCCAGTGTACAGGCTTGGTGGCTTTGTCAAACATCAGATGGCTGTAGGTGTGTGGGTTGATTTCTGGATTTTCTATTCTATTCCATCGATCAGTGTGTCTGTTTTTATGCCAGTACCATACTATTTTGGTTATTATAGCTTTATAGTATAGTTTAAAGTCAGGTAGTGTTATGCCTCCAGTTTTATGTTTTTTGCTCAGTGTTGCTTTGGCTATACGTGGTCTTTTCTTATTCCATATAAATGTCTGGATAGTTCTTTCCATTTCTGAGAAAAAAGTCATTGGAATTTTGATGGGGATTGCATTGAATTTGTATATCACTTTGGGTAGTATGGACATTTTTGCTATGTTGATTCTTCCAATCCAAGAGCATGGGATATCTTTCCATCTTCTTTTGTCCTCTTTAATTTCTCTCAGCAATGTATTCAATACATCAACAGAACGGGAAGGAAGACAACAGATTCCCTGGCATGGAGGCTGTGGCAAGTGTGGTCACTGTTCGACATACTACACAACAAAAAGGGGCTCATATCGATAACGGCATCTAACTTGCTCTCTCTCAGAGAAGGGGCTCAACTAAGTTCTTTACTAGAGTCCAACTAAGATCTATGATGGGAACTCTGAAAATACAGACAAAAGGCCCTAGATGAGAATGGTGTATTTAGTTTGTTTTTTACCTTGAGCTGCTCAAGAAACTCACAGCAATGCCACAGAATGTCCTTGATCTGTTTAATCCACAGGAGGGTGAGATCCTTGGAAAGAGCCAGGGACACATACCACACCTACAAGCAGGAAAGAGAATGTCATGGGGAGTTACAGGGATCATATTACATATGCTCTAACTACTGGACTGGACCTGTTAGCTAGATCCAGTGCCAAATAAGGCAATGGAGATTAATGGATGAATCAGCAGCAAACAGAACTTATTTTAACACTAAACCCAAAGATAAGAGAGCCCAGTAATGGAATTTGCTATCCTGGGTAAGAGGCAAGAGCAGAACCTAGTTTCTTAGATAATGAGAAGACTAAGGAGGAATCATTTGCACATTGTTAATGTTTTCCATCTGTTACTTATTTGCATTTGTAAGTGAATTAGTCCTAACATTCAACAGGAACTTTCAGAGCCTAAGAGGCTGGCCCTCAAGAGCCTGTGGGACACTGTCCAGTTCCCATCCCATTTACCTTAGGTTCATTCTCAGCGTCCATGCTGCTCAGGATGCAGTGACACAACTTATCGAATCTCTGCAGAGAGGCAGAATGAGGGTTATAAATCCTCACAATAACAAAATGGAAAGAGAAGGTAGCAAACGTTTGGTGGGCACCAGGCATGTGTAGGCAACATGCCAGGTGATCCACATGATAAGTAAGGATAATATTTAATTTCTTCTTACAGATGTGGAAACTGAGGACCAGAAAGGCTAAGGAAGTGCTCTTAAACTGGTGGCCTACAGACTGGATGAGCCCTACAGATGTGTTTTAGAAATTGGTGACTTCACATAAAAATCCAGACTGGGGCTTCTTGCAGGAAACAAAATCAATCAGGGCTTGGATTCCTACAGATGAGCAGCTGTCTCCTAAATTGTACTCCCTAGTTTGCCATTTTACAAGCACCATGGATACTGAACTTTTGCCTCACAGACGATAGCCAAAGGCTGTTATTCATCATTTTTATCCTGAAATGCAAAAGGAAGAAAAGTAGAAACTGGAAAGCAGGTTACACTTGGACTATACCAACCCTGGGTCCACCCTTAAAAGCAGTGTCACCTCGGGCAGGTTCCCCTACCATACTGATCTGTATTTTCCTCCTCTATAAGATGGGGGTCACCTCCCCGAGCTGCTTGTCTTCATCTTATGTGATCACATGCTCACTGCCTGAATACTCCCTCTTCTGCTGGGCTACCAGCTCCATGAGGGTAGAGACCTTGCCCATCTTGTTTCCTTCTGAGGCCCCAGTGCCTAGAAGAGGTTGGCACAAGGTGAGGCTTAGCAATAGCAAATGCCTAACACCTGGTAACATGGAAGCACACCTCAATATATAGTATAGTATATATATAGTATAGAGTATAGTTGGTACTACTACCAATAACCAGCTGCTTTTCTGGAATTGTATTTTCCAGGCTGATCATTCTAAACCCATAGTGCAAATTGGCATGTTTTGTTTGGTTTGCAGGAGATAAAAAAATTTCAAATTAGCTGCCAACTTTAACGAATTATGACATTAAGCATAAAGACCCAGATCTGCAGCATCTCTTTAAAAAAATCAGAGTATGTGTCCACCACCGGCTGAAGCCAAGTGGCAGTGTCTCCCTTTGGACGGGGCAGGCCACAGACCCCATTGCTCCCTTTGATGTCCTCACCACTGCCGACTGTCAGTTACCGTTCATTACGATTTGTATTTTGTAATATGTTTTGTCTCATATATGGCTTCTTTCACTTGTTTACCTAGCCTGCCTGTCTCCTGTATGCATGTGAATCCAACCTGTGCTTGTAATAGTGAATGTGAAAAGATTCCCAGAAGCACTGGGCATAATCCCTACAAAAGAGGCCCCGTGAAACAAAAGGGGCAGGATGTGGGGGTAACAGTACCTACTTCACAGAGTTACTATAAGAACAAGATGTGTTAACATTTACAAAATATTTACAAAAAGATCTGGCCTATATGAAGTACTGTGTATGTCTGCTATTATTATTTTACCTCATTATCCTCTTTAATTCTGAATAAGAACAGCAGCTTCCTGGCAATCTTGAAAATACAAAATGCACTTTTTTTACTGGACCCAGAGTCATCTGTTTTAAAAAACTCATCGATCTCTTGCCTAGAAAGAGAAGGACAAAAGAAAAGACATTTTAAATTAGGAGCACTTAGTATCTGAAAGGCTTTTTGAGAACACAAAACTCATATTTTCTATTAAAGGGGAGCCAGAGAAAAATGTGCTAGGGAGATCCTGGCACCCACCTGAGGTCTCTCTGCAGTCGACCCCGACAGAGAAAACTCCGGATGTGGGCCTGAATCTCAACAGCTGCCCGCTCCCGCTCCTTCTGCACGAGCCTTTCTTCTCGTGCCTGGCGGGCTCTATCAATAAACCATGCTCTCGAGGTCTGAGATACAGTGAACATGTTTGCAAACTTGCACAAACCCTGCAAAGAAAGTGGTGAGTAGCTACTGTAGGTCATTCAGCGAAAAACACACATTGAGAGGGGCTCAAGGGCAAAGGGTGGGCAGGGACTTGGGCAGCAGGAAAGAAATAGTCAGGACCCTCCAGCACCTTCTGAGGTGCTAACGGCTCTCCTGGCACAAGTCCCAACTTCCTACCAGATCCTTTCATGCAACTCACCAAGACCAAGGATGCTAAATTCTGTATTAAATAATTACATCTTCTTAAGAGAAAGAGCACAGCACCCAGCATAGGGGACAGGCAGGCTCTGAATAGTTTTAACAAAGGAACAAAGTCAATCCCACCCATAAAGCTCTAATTCAAAGTTCCCAGATATTTGAATTTTCAAAAGCAGTCCATAATATTTTGGAAGCCAGCATTGAAGCCAATATTTTATTTTGCCCAGTAAAGACTAGAAGAAGAAAAAAATCTAACATGATTATTTACTGTCACCATTACTTTATTCATTTATTAACTCAACACACATTCACTAGTGCCTACTTTGTGCCCAGCACACATAAAAAGGGGCCATTTTAGCATCAATAGAGCAAAGGGTACACAATTTCGGAATGCAAAATAGCCCATTAAATAGAGTATGTTCAGTTTTATGTATCACTTATTCGAATGTCTTTACTGTTCTCATTCTGCCAAGGACCGATGAAAACTTTACAGCAGAACTGCTCCAGTCCACCGACACATGCTTTTTTGAACACAGGCTCTAAATTATACATTACATTTTTATCTAAATTACTGGTAACATCCCAAAGGGATGGCTTTGGCTAGCAGCCTAAAGCACACAGTACTGATCCAAGGAGCCTCCCATACCTAGATGATTTATTTAAATGCTTTAAATACTTGATCATTCTATGCAAAATGTATAATCTGCCCAGCTGACAAAAACACTAAAATGAATTATTGAGAAATCCAGACTTCCGGAAAATAATTTCTCTACCCTGTTACTTCACATCACTCAAAACAGCACCCACATGAAAACATCACCCAGAATAAAAAGTTCACGATAGGCTCCTGCCACATGAACATATATCGAGGGACCTCTGTAGCCCCTTTCCAACACTGATTCACATCTGTCAAACAACATCAGGGCTTTGCCAACATGTGGGTCTATCATAAGTAATTCAAACAAATTAACAGAGCCTGCCTGACCGCAGGAGGGAGGGTAAAAAGACTGGATGGGAAAAGGTAGCAGTCTTCCGAATCATTCACTCTTCTGCCCCAGCAATGGAAGTCTGGAGAGCTCACCTGAGAACGTGTTTGTGTCGCAGAAATGCTAGGTAATCATTAGTGATCTTGCACAGGACTCACAAGTGAGAAAAGCTTCTTGTGTCAGAGGAGCTTGTTATTTCTGGGAGAAGCAGAAGAAAAAAAAATCCAGATTTAGGATTAAGTTTTATAGGTATGGCATCACTTATCTTCCTCACTAAGTAAAAGTAATAAATACAGCACCTATGGTTTTTTTTTTTTTTCCTTTTTGTCTTTTTTCGTGACTGGTAACGGGATCGCAACCCTCGGTGTCGCGCCCGTACCACGACCGGCAACGGGATCGCAACCCTCAGTGTTGCGCTTGCACCGCGCTCAACCAGTGAGAGGACCGGTCTCTATATGGGATCCGAACCCTCGGCGGGAACGCCGCTGCGCTCTCAAGCGCCGCACTCTACCGAGTGTGCCACCGGGCCAGCCCAGCACCTATGGTTTTTTTTAAAAAACTTGTGTTATGGGCCAGCCCGGTGGCGCACTGCTGCAGTGCGCCGCTTGGGAGTGCGGTGGCGCTCCCGCCGAGGGTTCGGATCCCACATACAGACCGGTTCCCGCTCACTGGCTGAGCGAGGGGTGGGAGCAACACTGCGGGGTGCGATCCCATTGCCGGTCCCGGTCCGGTACGGGCGCGACACTGAGGGTTGCGATCTGTTGCCAGACATGAAAAAAGACAAAAAGGAAAAAAAAAAAAACTTGTGTTAATGGTTAAAACACTCTTTAGTTAATGGTTCATCTAACTGTTAGACTGTAACTCCCCAGTCCTCACAGTTTAAAGGTAATAAATTGAAAATAATCTCAAAGAAGATGCTCTGTGGTACTAAGCAAGAACAACATTTAGAAGTAATGGAATATTAACATGCCACTGAAAATCATGTCTGACATTTTTAACGATATAGAAAAATGTTTATACCTTAGAAGTGAAAAAAGGGCTGTCTGTGGACCAATATGATCCCACTATCTGATGGAAAAGAAAAATACATGTGCACACATAGATACAAAACTGTGATGAAATATACCAACATGTTTAGAGTGGTTGTTTTGAGGTGGTGGAATTGTGGGAAATTTTACTTCATTGGTCTCTACTTTCTAAATTTTCCACAAAAAGCATGTGGTGAAGCAGCATGGCGCAGAGAGAGGCACATGGGCTTTGGAGTCACACAGAGCCAGAGCCAGTCCCCAGTTCTGCCATGCACTATAGGGAGAGAGTCTCAGAGACTTTGTGCCTTCATCTGTCAATCGGCTCAGAGGTCAATCATGAGGATTAAATGAGATTGTGTATATCAAGTAGCTATGGATGTGCTGACAGAGCACACGATCAATAAATCTGATGTATTGTTTTCATAGACACAAAGTTTTGGATCATGAGGATTAAATGAGATTGTGTATATCAAGTAGCTATGGATGTGCTGACAGAGCACACAATCAATAAATCTGATGTATTGTTTTCATAGACACAAAGTTTTGGTTTTTTTTTTTTAACCCTTCAGCAGGGGCTCCCATCTGCAGTCACTAAGGTTCTTTGGGTAAGAAATAATGCTGGCACTTTGACATTCCTCATCCATTGAATTTTTTTTTAATCCATGAGTGCACTAAGATTCACTAGTCTTGTCACTTGGGCTATGAACCCCAGACCCTGTAATCTAAGGTGGAATTTTGTTCCTTTGTTTTTGGTGGCTGGTGGTATAGGGATCCAAACTTGGAAGTTGGTGTTATCAGCACCATGCTCTAACCAACTGAGCTAACTGGCCAGCCCTAGACTGGGTAACAGCTTCAAGCTCCTGAAAGCCACAACAGAGCTGGGCCATGAGAACAATAAGCATGTTCTCTCCATAACATGTAGACAGACCATTTCTCATTGGCAGGAGGTACATGGGGGTCAGAAGAGGAAGAGGGAGCCTCTTGCCAATGGAAAAAAGAGAGCTGCACATAAACTGCCTAACTACCTGTAAGACTATCTCAAAACTTTCACTTCTTCCAGGATAAGATCCCTTCCTTGAGATTATCATTCCTGTTATGTGTTGGTTTCTACTTACACCACATAGTAGTCTATGCTTTGCAGTTTTTCTAATTCTTTCCTATATACCTCTTCTACCTGCATAGTGTATACTGCAGTTCATCAATCAAGTAAAACACACAATCAAGCATTAAATACTTATTCTGCTAAATGCCATGGAGAATCAAAGAAAAAGGCTGTGGACAACAGAAGAAGCCTTGGATCAAAGAAAGTAGCCCTTGGATCTTTTTAGTCCTGATTCTACCTCTCATTTCACCAAGTTATTATCCTCTCTAGGCCTCAGTCTCCTTAACTCTAATTGAGGATAATAATAGTACATACATCTTAGGGTTGCTAAAAGGATTAAATGAAACATTTACCATTCTTGTACCTCAATTTAGTCATCACAACATTGTGATCAGGATTAAAAGGGAAATATTAATAAAGGGTATCTGAAAGCATACAGCATGTAAGTGAGTTTTACTGTATTGTCCTTAAGAGCTTACAATCCAGTTAGGGGAACCAGAATTATATAGGCAGAAACATTAGAAAACAAGAGATTGGTGATAATCATTCGAAAAGGAAAATAAGTCGAGTACCCACTATGTATCAGATCCTTTCTAAGTGATCTCATCTACTAAGAACAGCAACCCTAGGAAAAGATCATTTATTATCGCCCATAGCCCAGATTAGACTATTAGTACTAATAGTATTATCACCCATAGTCCAGATTAGACTATCATTACTAATAGTATTATCTGTGACTATTATTATTAGTCGCAGAGCCAAGATTTTAATACTAACAGATAGGATTCACACTCCACTCTACCTCTATATTCCCATAAGACCTGCTCAAAATCAATCTTTTCTGGATGAGGCCAACTTCATGGAGAACTCAAAAGCACATGACCATCCAGAGAGTATGGTCCAAAGGTGAAACGCCATAAATTCCAACTGCTGACTGAACCCAACAGAATTCTCCCTGTACAGCGGGAATAGCTGGGCTGCCAGGTTTAACCACCACCAGCCTTTGTTAAGGGTGGACCATGTACCAGAGGGTGTGCAGATATTTAACCAACCTTGTCTTTTTAACAGCTCTATCAGGTCTCAATAGTCTAATTTTGTTGTTGTTGCTATTTTTAAGAACAGGCAACAGGACTTAGGGACATTATTAATAATAACAGCTATCACTGATTGAAAGCTATAGACTATCAAGGTGGATGCTATTATCAATTCCACCTTCACATGGGGAAAATGAGGACTTGCCGAAGGTCACTGGGTTCCTGAATTTGAACCCATATCTAACTCCAAAGCAATTGTTTACTGGTAAGTAAATCAGACAAGACCCAGGCCTCCCTCATTCACAGACTGGTAAAGCAAAGACAGGCTGAGAATGCGAGGCTGCCCGTGGAGCTAAGCTGGAGTTAAATTACGACCAAGTTTTTCTTTATTGAGAGCTAAGTATCAGGCACGGTACTAAACCACCCTCTGTGAATCGAGCTAATTACTCCATTTAACAGAGGCAGAAACTGAGGCTCAGAGAGGCGAGGGAACTCATCCAAAGCCACATAAACAGCGAACAGGATTCGAACTCCAGTTTGGGTGACTCCTGAGGCCTGGCGTCTTTCCTCGGCATCAACAACTACCACAACAAATCCTCTTCGCCCAGCATTAGTCCGCTTATAAAGGCCTATCTCCCCCAAAATGAAAAGAGGTGGAAAGGTCTGAAGAGAGACCCCCTGGAGCCCGAAAACCAGTACCCAGCACCTGCCCCTCAGAACTGGCCAGACAAGGACTCGGCCCCAGAGCCACCTCCCTCAAAGTCCCCGGTCCCACAATACTAGAACCAACGACCCTGTTCCCACTCGCTACCCGCAGGCGGTAGACCTTTATCCGCTTGAGGCCCCAACGCTCGGGGTCGGGGCCGTAGCTGCCGCCGCCTCAGCCCAAAACCCCCGAGCTCTGCCAGACCAGGGGCAGCACCCCAGGTCCGACCGCCATCTTGCCCCGGGGTGTTCGCTCTCAAAACTCCGCCTGGAAGCAAATATCCAGTTCCGGGAAACGACAGTTCCACAGAGCTTATTCACTCGGGAAGGAAAACCTCCCCGCACCTTGTCCTCCTCTCTGGCAGCTGAAAAAGCGGAGCATTCAGGAGTGGGATAAATGCTTGACCCAGCCGAAAGGAGAAGGAACCCATGCCGGCGAAGAAGTTGGAAGGAAAGCGGCCGAAGACTATGGAAACAGCGGATACTTTAGGAAGGCGTCCTCAGAGGGGCGGAAGTGAGGTCTAAACAGCGGAAGTTTCTGCCCCTGCCCGCCCCCGCCCGCCCCCGCCCCCGGCTCGCGTGAGCTGGGTGTTTCCTGCCTCTCTCAGTCCGGGTTTGGAGACTCCCGCGATCTCCGACTTTTCATGGTAAGGAGGGTGGTTCCCACCAACTGCGGGCTCTGGGCGGCCAAGGGAGCAGGGCAGCCTCAGAGTAGAGGGAGAAGGGACCTAAAGGAGGGGTGCGATGAGGGGCGGTCACGATAGTGGAGAGGTGGTTGGGGGATTGGATGGGGGCGAGTGTGGGTGGGGGCAGGACTTTGGGGGGAGAATTAGGGTGTACCTGGCTATTGGGGATTCGGGAAAGGGCGTTTGGGCTTGGGGAGTAGATACTAATGTGGGTGAGTTGGGGGTCTTTGGGTCTTGGGTTCCTGTTGGAGATTAGAATTGGTGATTGTGAGAACAAAGAGATGTCATCGAAAACTGACTTTTGGGGTGGAAAATGAGGATTTGGAGGGTTGTGAAGGAGAGTGGGTAGGTTATGAGAGGGTGAAGTGGGATTCCTTGGGACAGAGCATTTGGTGTTTTGAGGTTGTGGCTGGAGTCGCAGGGTTTGGTAGAAGTAGGGAAGGGTCTCCCAGGTACATCTGAATGCATGGGCGAGTGGAAGAAAGAGAGGAGCCGGCAGGCGGGTGTTTGTTCAGTGCTTGGGATTCCGGGGGCTTGAGGTCAAGGTACTTAAGCCACGGAGTCCAGAGCCGCAACTGGCGCCTAGGCACCTATCTAGTCACTTCCGTTGAGGCCCGAGGTGGCCACGCCTAAAGAGCCTAGGATGTCTCACATGCTGTGTCTCAGCTGTGGGAAGGTTTCTGTTTGCTTGGGATCCTCAAAGGGTCTGTTTCTTGAATAGCTCTTTGTGAGCGGTGACGACCAAAGATCAGCCCAGATTTTTTTTTTTTTTTTTTTTTTACTTGTGTGCCACTTCCTTGGAAAGTGCAGTGTTTAGGGAAGATCAGTCCCAAGGACACTGCTGAAGAAAACTGAGTCAACTTGTATCTGACTGACTGGTCTACTGCATTTTGTGCAAAATAAGGAACACCTGAGGGGAAGAAGGCAGCATAAACCAGTGGTTCTCAATCTATGGTCCCCGCAGCAGCAGCAGCAGCACCTGGGAACTTGTGAAAAATGCCACACTTTCAAGCCCTACCACAGACTACTGAATTAGACGTTCTGGGAGTGGGGCCCAGGGATCTGTTTTAACAAGCCCTGCAGGGGATTAGAGTAGTGATTTCTTGATTTGACCTATGTAGTGAAAGGGGCATGAGAATTGGAGTCAGAGAACCCCTACAGTTCTGATTTTTAGTTTTCTCCCCTAAAAAGTGAAATTGATGATTACATCTTCCTTCTAGACTGTTGAGAAATAGGCCAATAATATGTGTGCTAAATGTAGGAAGAGGATGGCATTTGGAGTAAGTCTTATAAATTTTGGGTGCAAAGTAAGGCTACAATTACGTGATTGATAGGATTTAGTTTGGTTGAAATGGAGCAGCAGACTTTTCTGAGATGTAGAAATGCCTTCAGTTTGGAGAAGTTGTATAAGTAGCCTCAGTGCAGTGTTTCTTAAACTTCTTTGCTGTAAGAATACCCTGAGTGGATATTTTTGCTCCACATGCCCAGTGATTTTTAGATCAAGCTGGTTAAATGCCTTAGCTTAGTGGCACTGAGCCCTGGCCGCACATCAGAGTCACCTGAAGATACTTTAAGATTCTGATTAATTGGTCTGGGGTGTAGCCCAGGCAGGCACCAGTGTTTTTTAAAAGCACAGTTGATTCTAGTAGCTAGGGTTGGGAACCACGGATCTTAAAGAAAGCTGAGTGACAGTGTATGGCTAAGTGACTACGCTAATTGTATGGCTAGGCAATTCATAACTAAAGCCAAAAAGTTTCATTATCTTGTTTACACTGAGTTTTCCATTTGTATTGTCTGGGCTAGGGGTTAGGGCCCATAGACCCTTCAAACCCGTTGTACAGACTGGGTCACTAACCCCTCACATGCCAGACTGGGTCACCAGACCCCTCACATGCCAGGTTGGGTCACTAGACCCCTCACACACAGGTCCACAAGCTAGGTAATTGGGAAAGATCCCGGGAGCCATTGGCAGGCGACATAAGCTCAGTCCTCAGTTTCCTTGGCAGTGGTGGTGGTGGCCTCCCTCAGGGCATCCTGGGGGCGGGGGACACTGGATCAGAGCCATTCGTCCTTTATACTCAAGTCAAATAACCCAGGACACCTGGGCGCACATGCACAGTTACAGTAGACAACCAAGGAACACCTGGGTGCATATACATATTTACATCAAAAGCTTGGCAAGATTCTGAACATCTGAGGGAGCCCTGACCATTTTCTTTATATTTTCCCTACAGATAGAAGGGAAATTACACTAAGGACTAGGTGCCAAGTCCTTCCCCTCCCCCCCCATATAAAGATGACTGGTAAGGGGATCTTAACCCTTGACTTGGTGTTGTCAGCACCACACTCTCCCAAGTGAGTTAACTGGCCATCCCTATATAGGGATCCGAACCCGTGGCCTTGGTGTTATCAGCACCACACTCTCCCAAGTGAGCCATGGCCTGGCCCTGCCAAGTCCTTTTTTTTTTTTTTTTTTTTTTTTTTCCTTTTTGAGACCGC